TATATATATATATATATATATATACACAAACATATATACATTGATTGTATACACAAAGGGGGCATGGAGTTCGGTAACAAGTCTTTTTGCCCACTAATCACGTGAATATAAATATCATTATCTTTATTTAATATAAATTTCTTTAAATTGAATTTTTTATTCTCTCTACTCACAAAATAATGATGTGCTTTCACGTGATCCATGGACGGGGAACTTGGGGACATCTGTTTTGCGTTGGACTTTGTATGCTTGCTACCTGAAAGAGATGCAGTTCCTTTCAATCTTCCTTAGATGAAAGAACAAACTAAGGCCTCGTATGCAAAAACTATAACCAATTTGGGAATTATAATAAAAAAATTGGTGTCTACAAGTCTGATCTAAAATTAAGCCAAGTTACAGAAAGTATGACAAAGAGGGGTAAGCAAGTAAGATGAACAATACCTTTCTAGTAACAACTTTGGCTTGAAACATCCGGCCCTTTAACCCTGCGGTTAAGGAGGTAAGTATTCTTGTAGAATGAATGAGTCGGAGGTCTGAATTCGACTCCAGGCTGTCCCTCATACACACAATTACCTCTTGTAATGGCCGCATGATGGTGGCACTCCAGGGATGATGTGATTTACCTCCTCATAATGGCCGTGAGACCAGTATGATGATGCACTTCAGAGGATGACATCATACCATTTTGCAGAACTACTTCTTGAAACAAAACACTTGGTTTTCTTCCTTCAGGCCATTTCTCTACCAATAATCCTGGCAAGAACAGTTGCCTCCCTGAAAATGGTGAAATCTGCTGCCATCCCTCACTATAATCTCCCTCTGAAACACCTTTGATGTAATTTTGGTCATCTCATGACAATCCCCACAAACCCTTAAGTTCTTCACTATGCGAATGCAAGTTCCTGCCTCGGTTATCAACAAACCAAAAGCAATTGCCAACCTCTCACTGTGCTCTTTGATTGAGTTAATCTTTTCTTCCTCCTCTAAATCATGCAAAACCGATGAAATATTTGGCAAATAGCCAGCCTCTACAATCTTGGTGTTCATCCTATCGACCATCTTGTAAATTTCTGAAGTCCTTTCATGTTCTCTATCTCCTGCAACAAATTGATGAATCTTTCCCTGTGCTTCAATCAAACTCCATCCTGGAACCTTTCTTGAATTTAAACCTCGAGTTGTTAACACCTCTTCCCATTTACATGACTTAGCAAAAATGCTAGATAACTGTACATAATTTCCATGGTGATTTGGGTCTAACTGGATTAGTTTTTTACCAGTTCCTTCACCAAATTCTACTAATCCATGTGTCCTGCAAGCAGCAACAATGGTTACCCACAAAACAGGATCTGGTGGAATTGGCATCTTTTCAACCAATTCAATGGCATCAGCTATCAAACCTGCACGACCTAGAAGATCAACCATGCAACCGTAATGCTCCATTTCAGGATCAATGTTGTATTTTTGGGACATTAGCTTGAAATAATGACGACCCTGATCAACTAAACCTGCTCGGCTACATGCATTTAGGACGCCAATAAAGGTCACATTTTCAGGAGTACGTCCTTCAATCAGGAACTTCTCAAAATGTTCAATGGCTTCCATGGCTAGTCCATATGTGGCAAATCCACAAATCATGACATTCCATGATGAAATATCTTTTTGGGGCATTTTATCGAACAATTGGCGAGCTTTATCGATGTTCCCACATTTAGCATACATGTCAACTAGGGCATTCCAAATGTGGACGGTCTTGGGGCAATCGAATGAATCTATGATTGAATGAATCAGTATACCCTTTTCAATCAACCCCAATTGAGCGCATGCTGAAAGAACCATCACCAGAATGGCTTCGTTGGGTAACAATCCAAGATCCCTCATTCGTTTAAAACAGTCAAACCCTTGTTCCAAATATCCGTTCTGCACGTAACCTGTTATCAATGAGCTCCACGATATAATATCTTTCTCAGGCATTTCATCGAACATCTTCTCTAAATCATCTATCTGGCCCATTCTTGCATACCCCGCCATCATGACGTTCCATGTGACCAGATCTCGACACCCTGGACTCTCATTAAACACCTCTTTCGCACATTTACTCTCACAAGAAGCAAAATACAAGTGAATTAGAGCATTTCGAGAATACACATTATTGTAAAATCCAAGCTTTACAACATGAGCTTGGACCTGCGTTCCTTCAACGATTCCCTTAAAATTACCACAAGCTTGAAGCAGAAAAGGAAACGTATAGTTGTTAGGCCGAAAATAGGTATTTTTGAACATAAACGAGTAGAGGGACATCGCTTCGTGAGGGGATTTGCTCTTGGCGAAGCATCGGATTAGGTTATTGATAGCAAAAAGAGATGGGTTTTGAGTTGAATGAAGAATGGAAAGAGAATACTGAAATGGGATTGATCGGGACTGAGCTAAGGCGGCAAGGAGTTGGCCAGTGAGATGGCTGTCGCCGCCATTACCGGCAGCGATGAGGCGGGCATGTGCTTGTTTAATTTGGTGGAGGGAAGGGTTTGGCTGGAAAATGGGAGTTACAGCCGTTGAATAAAGCTTGAAGAGGGAACTGCTGATGAACATAAAAACGTTGAAACCGATGAACTCTTGTAAACCGATCAGCTCTTGTATCAAGATAACAAATCAAAGTGAATTTATCAAGTGATATATAGTTGATACGCCATTGAAGCACACCAAAAATTAATCTAAGGTTAATGAAAACCTTCCGCTTGAAAGGAATTTTGCCTCGGCTATCAAAAATTAAAATCTACTAGAATGGTACGAATTGAGACACATTTTGATTTCGGTATTCCATTTTATTCCTTTTTTACATCGATATAATACGGTTTTATATTGTTTTAAGAAAACGATAATGTTTTTATCTTAAATAAAATATAAATTTGAAAATATCATAAATTTTAAAAAAATATATCGATATCAGTATCAAATTAATTTTTTTTAAAGATTTTTGTGTCTTGGTGTAATTTTCTTAATTCAATTTTTTTTAATTATAATTTAATTTAGGTTTAGTAAGAAACAAATTTAATTTAGGTTTAATAATATAATTTTTTATAAAAATAATAACTAAGTATTCTGTTAGAACTTAATGATTATCCTAATTATATTTTAGAGTTTTTATATTTAAAATAAGATGTTTATCTAATATTTGATTGTGTTTATCCGCAGTTAGTTACACGAATTTAAATACGGAACTTTAATAAGTTGTACTTATACACAATTTACTTGTAATTTTGAATTTTAAGTAATATGCATTAATAAACAATATTTCGTGCATAAAAAATGGTTTTTAAGAGTTTTTGTCAAATGTTTTATAATATAGTATAGATATACAAAATTACATTTAAAACACACATTTATGTTATTAAAATATTGCATGCATGTGTATACAATACAATACTATTTCACACCATCTCTGCTACCTGATAGGCATAAGAAAGGGCCTCGATCCGTCGGAGACGGAGAATCCCCGTTACACCGGGGATGGGGAAAGAGATACCCGTTTGTTTGAAGTCGGGGATGGGACGGGAACAGGTACGACACTCCCATCCAATATACGTTTTATATATATATATATATATATATATATATATATATATATATATATAGGGGCTTAATCAAATGAAAACTGAGTTGTTTGTGATAACTGTGAGATCCAATCTCAACCACA